TGCCAGCAATTTGCTTACCCCGAATGCTTCCCCATCTCTCAGGCAACTGTCCTGAAACAGTGAGTGTTTGAGCAGAGGTCGGCCACAGTATCTCAGTGGACAAGTTGGGAAGGTCAGGTTATCAGAAAGCACTGTTGTTGATGCCATTTTGCCTTGTTCATTCACAGCGCCCCAGATAACGTCAGCTTCTTTTTATTTATGAGGCTGTTGATTCAGCTGAAACATTCTGTAAGGAGGTCTTATTCACAGCAGTTCTTAAATGAGGAAATGCTTGATCAATAATATGTTTCCTTTACTGACATGTCAGCTTAGTTATCCATTCCATTTTGCAGTTACATAATGAGAAAACTCATCATGGTCCAATAGCTTAGTAGGCAGACCAGGAACATTAGAAATACTGCCTTTCTTCTTGGGTTTCTTTTAATTTCCCTATCATCCAAGGGCAAAATTGAGATCCTCAGGGCAAGGATCTATCTTTTGCCATACATAAAACCATAGTATCTGGTTGAAAGTCCTGTTTTGGGATGCCCACATTACTTGGCAACAACAAAACTAGAATGGAAAAAAGGCCCATTCCATAACCTCTGCTGAGACACCAGCTCCATTTGGCTCAGATGTCATCTAGCAACATACACAGCCATTTCACCCAGTTGCAGCAATGAAAGCAACAGGAAGTTGTGCTGAGACACCAGCTCCTCTCACAGTTTCCATTCAAGCGGGCCATTATGAGAGCTTTGTAACTTCAAGTACTGATACTTGTATTTGCCTGTTCTCCTTTTCCCTCCCCATCAGTTTTTCTTTCCCGGATGTGTCTTAGATATAAGCCTGAGGGAAGCAACTATGTGGTTTGTTCTTGATCTGGACTGATCCAAGCAAATCCAGGAGCCTTTCTGACCAGAGAACAGGGCAAAATGCTTTCAATGACAAGGTCAGGCATTCAGTGTCACTTCACATTCTACATTTTAAAGACAAAATGTAGATAGATGCATGAACCGAAAAACTGTTAGCAAACAAGGATATAATACAGGTACATTTGTCAGGGAACTGAAGTTGGCTACGGCTCTCCAATGAGTATACATACACCTGCAAGGTTTGCCAAAGAGCGTCCTTGTTAATGTCATGTTGCCACACTCATTTGCACAGGTTGTGTGTGGCCTTGAAAAAAATAACAGCCTCTGCTCTCTTATCTGCATAATCGCCATACACAAAAAATGTCCACCACTAGTATGACCAAGAAAATACCAGCCACAACTACCATCATCCTGTCCGACATATACTAATAGCAAGCTTATATGATGAGCGTGTAGACAAAATGGCACCCTCCTTGCACGAAGGAGAGGTACCCACAGGCCGGGGGAACCATCAAGGTTGCAGAAGTACAAAGAATCTGGGTGGGAGACCCACAGTGCACGGGAGCTTTTTCTTCTCATTACTTTTTAAATCATCTGGGGGCACTGTTCGTGCTGTGAAGTGAGATCTAAGCGTCCTAAATGGACTGAGCTAAACTAAAGACCACAGTGGCTGAGTCTCTGTTGAAAGTGGGAGGAAACAGAAAACGTTGGAGAGGAAGACTGGAACGGCGGATTCCACAAGAGGATATGGCTGGCTGAAACACTGTGCTCCACTCTTCAACACCTTGTTGCATGACCCACATAAATAGAGGAGGAGGAAGAGGCCACCCTTCCTCCTACAAACTCATGGTCCTATATTCAGAGCAGAACAATAGCACCTCCTGTAGTTTCTGCAATTGACCATTCCTGAAGTAAACTGTGAGGCTTTCCATATTTTCTATCTGAGCGGATCACAGGAGGCCAGCTAGTTTTTACTGTATTTTGTAATGCAAGTCCTGGCATATTAAAAAGGTGGAACAAGACTCTAAACAAATATTTGACTGGCTGCACCTTCCATTCATACCAGAAATGGAACTTCTTTCACAATCGGTCTATGCAATAATACATCTCCATTAGGAGACTAGACTTTACTGGCCTCATAGTCTCATGAATACATAAAGCAGCACTTCGTTTTTGTTTTTAATCTTCCTCTAACCATCCAAATCATGAATCCAAAAATGCTCTTAATTCTCTCTAAGAACATCTTTCCTGAAAGAAAACTCTGCACATGCCCTGAAACCCAAAATGATATCAAGCAAATAAAAAGGTAGATTGACTTTTTTTTTTTTAAGGCTGTGTGTGACATTTTCCCTTCCTCCTCCCATTTTCCATATAAATCTTTTTATACACAAGGAGATCTGGCTTCTTTTAAAACTTCATTTCTCCAATATTTCTCCCTAAAATTCCTGCATCAGCTGGGAATGCAAGGTTGTTAAGCTACTGCTCACATTCTAGGTTGTTAAGCTATTGCTCACATTGTTTTGTTACATTCTATGTCCTCCAAGCTTTGGAAAAGTAAATTTAAAGTAACTTACTCTCAAATGTTTCCAGACGTGGGCTTGAGGAAGGGTCCCTTACAGCAGCCTGCTTAGACTAAGGACAACTTGAGGTAGCAGGGACGCTTGTACAGAAAGGGATTGAGCAGGCAGGGAAAAATATTCCCTACAGGTCCTTTGTTCCCCCACCCATTTTATCCTCACAAAACCCTTGCGCTGCATGTTAGGCTAAGACACACTGACGGCCCAGGCTCACCAGTGAGATTCATAGCCCAGTGAGGATTTGAACACAGGTCTCCTGGACATCGTTGCACACGCTAACTGCTGTACCACACCAGCTCTTCAGAGAGGTCCGTGGCCCTGTGATGATTCTGTGTGATCAGAGGCAAGTGTCACCTTGCTCAGAAAGGATTTGCCCCACTGTTCAGCACGCAGTCGGATTTTGCCTCTGGATTCGGTGCAGCCCAAATCCCACTCCGGAGCCAATCCCAGGAGCAAGGCTCTGACTGTCGAGTGGTCCAGCCCTCTGCGGTTCTGAGAGGGGTCTGCTCTCCCTCTGAAAAGAGGGACGCACCACGCCTGCTTTACCAATGCCAGCTCCAAGTCATAATAATATGCATGCGATTGCTGGCAGGAATAGTATCAGTAATAATTCAGGTTATAAGATAGTTGCTGGAATAAAGCTGGATGTCCTACAGCCCCATGCACAGAGGGAAGGATCTTTCAATGGCCATTAGTTATTGAATGCCTGTACAGAGAAGCAGCAGGGCGTGTGGGCTTCCCAGAGGGGAAACCAGATGCTGAGGCTTGCTACCTCAGACCTCTTCTACTCTTGTGTTAAAGCACAGAGTCAGGGAGAAATCAGTGCAGTGTAGTGGTTAGAGCACTGGGCGGGGACTCAGGAGGGTTTTATTCTAGTTCTCACTTGCCCATGAAATTCACAGGGTGACTTTGGGCCAGTAACCAACTCTCAGCCTAACCTACCTCAGAGGGTTGTTGTGAGAGAAAGAGGATCATATGAATTGCCTTGGGCTCCCTGGAGAACAGGTGGGATATAACTGTGACAAATCAATAAATCAAAGCTATCATGTGTCACATGTACACATGAACACGCACATGCAGCGGTTCTATCAAACAATTTAAGCCTGAATTAATCCATATAGAAACCTACCATCCTCAGATTCTGCACTCACAATTCCTAGTGAAGGTTAGCCTCCCTTTTTAGCTTGTGTGGGGCTTCTTGAAACACACCAATTTATAGGGCAACGTGGTTAGAAAGCATAAAGAAATGACAAATTTGTAGTGCGCTCTTCCATATGCATCCATTATACATGATAAATGCTGCTGTTGCTGATGAGAATAATAATACATAATACTATATATTTTTCCAAAGTGCCTCCATTGTATTATCTCCATAATAAATCTTAAAGGAACCCTCTATTGTAGGATATTGCTGTCCCTATGCATCATATTAAAAGGATTGAGTTTAAAACTAAACTGCATGGCTGCTGTCTAAAACCCCCAATGATTTGTTGTTGGCATTTATTAACAGGGCATTTGTTGGACTTCCAGCCTCACCGAGACCAGTTTCTTTTTTCGCTCTTTCTCCGCTGCAAATTTAAAGGGATTCCGCATTCTCGGCACATATGCGGGCTAACGACCCACCTGCCTTTCGAAGCAGCTGGCGTCACCCCTGAAAAATGGGGAACGAAGGGCGACTTCGTGCATGCGGGTGTTGCAGGCTCCTCCTGGCCGTGAAACCTCCCGTTCCAAAAAATCAGAGGAAGGGAAAAAGCATCTCCAAACGCCGGACTGAGATCCAATCTCAGTTTTGTAAAATCACAATGTGGAAAACCAAGATTAGCATAAGGTAATTGGAAACGTGACCGAGAGTGCCATCTACCTGAAAATCTGTTTTCCCAATCCTAGAAAGGAGCGGCGGGGGAGTAAAGTCGCTTCAGACGTTACAAAATTTGTACACCGAAAGTGCTTCATCTACAAACGAGAGTGCAACCTTCATATGACGTGCGGTTACATGTCCATATACCATTATTAATTTATCTGCAGCAAACGCTAACCCTCCTTTCCCCCACAGGAGATCGGTGGGCGCCAGGCACCAAAGCACAACTTTAAAACTATGCCGAGAACATATAACAAATCGATTCGTGTATGCTCTGTTTGTGTACAAAGCTGTGCGTGATTTATACGTTGCACCCTTGCGAAGGGGCGCATCGAAGCGCCGCGGCTGCACTGTTTGCCACAGCCCTTGAGCATGCAGAGAACGGCTCTCTGCCTACGAGCAGGGGCGCCCCTTTCTGCACCACGGCTTCACCGGCTCCGGAGTAAAGGCGGGGAGCCCTGACTCGGGTCAAGCCCAGATCGGCCCGTTCAAGTGGGCTTCACTGCGGTCTCGCGCCCCGCACGCCCGAAATCCGTCCGACTTCGCCAAAGACAGGAGGCAGGTGGCTCTGGCTTTAAGCCAAGGCGAGAGCAGGAACTTCGAAGCTGCGCTAGTTTTTCGCGTCTTCGGCTCCTGTCTCTCCTTGAGTTCTCCCAACACCGTCGGATACCCTTGTCCCTAGTTCAAGGTTATCAAAAAGTACAGCAGGTTTACCTTTTCTGGTTTGCCCGCTTCCAACTTCCAGCAGCGTTAAATCCACCCGATTACAAGAGGACGCGGTAAAAAAAAAAGCAAAATAATTAACTCCGCAAAGCCCCCAGAAGACAACAGCGCGAGATCCACCCGAATCTTTCCGCGTGGGGCTAATAATCCTGTCGGGAGAAAGCCGGGAAGTGCAGAGAAGCGCTGGGAACCAAATCGAGCAGGCAACCGGGCCAGAAAACGAGTCCCGCTCTGCTCTGGCTTGCGGCTGACGAGCGAGAGAGTCCTGCTCTGAAGTTGCACGGCCAGTTGCTCCTGGCTGATCTCATCCAGGATTTGCATAGCTCTCTTCCCGCCCCGCGACGCCCCACAGTCGGCGAGGCGGGGCGGGGCGGGGCGGGACTCGGCTCGGCGGTGCCCCCTCCGCTTCCTTGCTCCTTCTTTCTTTGCCGTATCCATCGCTCTCTCGACCGGCCCCCTCGCGCCCCCTCCTTCCCTGAAATTAACTCACGCCTTTCTGCTCAGCTGTTGGCAGACGGTCTCTCCCGCCTCCCTCCCAAGCGAGGCCCCCCTCGCGTAGCTTGGTGGCGCTGGCTTGGGCATGGGGGGGGGGAGAGCGAGCGAGCTGCTGCTGCTGCTACCCTAAGGGAAAGTTGGAGATCGCCCCCCGCCCCCCTTTCTGGCTCTTTGTCTGGACAAAGCGACTCCGCAGAAAGAATCCCTCCGCATTTCTTTGTGAGATAAGAGAGAGCCGGTTTTTCGAGCTACACTTTCTCACCCTTTCCCATCAACCTTTGCCAGAAAGCCGGGCGGTGTGTTTGTGCGGAGGGGGGATAACCTTGGGTCTTCCGCGCTCCAAATCAGCAGCGGGGCAAAGATGTTTCCCTCTCCCTCCCTCTCTCTCGCATTAAGCCATGAGTGCCTTTTACAAATTAAAAGAGGGCAGGTGCTGCACCACCAAGCATGGGCAACTCAGCCCTGCAGATGGTTTAGCCTACAATGCCCAACAGCCTTACCATTATGGCCTATGAAGAGGAGCTATGGGCAATGTAGGCCGCAAGTTGTCTGTCCTTACACCCTAAAATATGGCAGGAGGAAAAACGAGGAAAATGGAAGCCGAGGTACAGGGGACAAGAAGATACCAGCACTAGGACTTGGTTACACACAGTAGTAAAGTGAAGGAATTATAATTAGGATAATTATTAATAATAATATTAATGAAATATTTTTCTTGGTATATAAGGGATGAATGACAGAGCTAGTGTGGTGCAATTGTGAGTGTTGCACTTGGGCTTGAGAATTGTGAAGCTCATTGGGTGAATTGGGACCAGGCCTATCTCAGAGAGTCATGATGGGAAAGAGGAGGACCATGTTCACTACCTTGGGTTTCTTGCAAGAAGGGGAAAAAGTGGGATATGAATTTTATAACATATAAATAAATAAATAAAAATTATCCGCTGCCATTCACCTAGGCATCTACCAGTTGACCTTGATTCTGCCCTGCCTTTGCTCTTAAGTCATTCCTCTGCAATGAACTGGATGTGAGAACCCACTGCTGGATTGCAGCCCTGTCTATGTACTTCCACCATGCACACATATATTTGGTGGGTCCCCAGTGCATGTTTTGGCTAAAAAAAAGTTGGGCCTCAAGTACGAGAGCACAAGTGCACTATGGAAAGAGAAAGATAGGGTGAGAGAGGATTTTAAACTTTCTCTGGTTCAAAAGGTATCATTTTTTTTCTTCATGATAAAAGTATAATAATGGACATATCTATTTTTAATGATGCAGCCAACAGCACTCCATCAAACATGCTTTGGACACGAAAGAGTGTGGTGTGGTGATTCAAGTACTAGACTGGGACCCGGGAGATGCAGCTTCAAGTCCCTGCTGGACCAGGAACCCCACAGGGAGATTTTGGGCCAGTCATTCACGCTCAGCTTAACCCACCTCACAGGGCTGTTGTCATGAGGATAAAATGGAGTGGAGAACTATGGAAGCTGCCTTGGGTTCCTCGCAAGAGGCAAAAAGGCAGGATATAAATGCAATAATAACACAAATGTGTGGGGCTTCCCCGTGAATCATGCCATTTTCAAACTCAGGATGTCCTGGCTTCAGGAATGACTCTCCCTTCTCTCCTGGCCCTGAGCTTTTCACAATGCATCTGGGAATTATGGAATTATCAAACAGTGAAAGCTACACTGTGAGAACACTGGGGCATAACAATATGAATGGATTTTCCAAGGTCAATGGCCTTTTCTTAACCATAGATGAATCTTAAGCCAGTCTGAGAGTTTGATTAGGATTACTCTTACCACTGTTCCATAACTGGGAAAGTACAAAATTGCAATACTTACAAACCAGGTTGCTTTCTCCTTCACCCCACATAGCAGCCAGCTTGGCTCTATGGTTCTGGATGGGCCACAATGAGGTGGGATCCTGCTGCGATTGATGTGAGCTGAGGCCCCACATGCGCTCTTTCTGGTGCCCAGAGCACAAAGAACTTGTGCTGCCAGCAAACTCCCTCTCAGCTGCCGTGGCGCTGCCCCTTTCCCCATCCTCCCACTACTCCGCAACTCCGTGCTGCTGCCAGTCCCGGCCTGGAGAGCTCTCTGCCTCGCCTCTGCTGCTGCACAAGGGCGACCCAAGCCGGGGCTGGCGGCGGCAGAGCAAGCGAGTTGCGTGGTGGCGGGACTGTTGAGATCTCAGTGGCTCCAGGCTCTTAGCTATCCTGAGGGGCCAGCTACGTGCTGTGGTCTCACAAGAGCCCTGAGCCCCACAGCAACAGAGGGCTAGAGGGGCTCCACAGTCCCACTAGCCGCTTTTCATAGAGCATCTGCCGGGGATGGCACGAGGCTCTCTGGGCCAGGCCAGGGGTGGCACAATTCGCTGCCCATCCAGCCTTGTCGCCTCATGCAGGCACCTCACCCTGCTTCAGGGGTGGGCCAGCCCTACATGTGCTGGCCCCCCCCCCCAACTCCCTCTGTGTATTCTCACAGCCAGTCTTATTAGGACAAATAGGGGTGCCGTGTTCATCTGCTACAGTAAGCACACCAGAAGGAGAGAGTCTTATGGCACTTCAAAGACTAACAGATTTATTGTGACATAAGCTTTCATGAGGCATCTGATGAAGAGAGCTCTAGTCTACAAAAGCTGATGTCATAACAAATCTGTTCGTCCATAAGGTGCTACAGGACTCCCTCTCTCATTCTCTTCCTTCTCCGCCCATCGTCTTTTCCTCTGCGCACTGCTATGATTTTGCACATGGTTATCATCTGATTGTTTTGCACACTGTTACCAGGCTGAACCCAGGACTGAGGTCCAGCATGCCTGCTTTATTTAAACCTGGGACTTACGGGGCACAGCTCCTGAAGCTCTTTCGATGCTAAGGCTCTGCTTTAGGAGATGTGACTCTACGAACACCCACACACAAAAGAAAAAGAGAAAAAGTTCAGGCATGCAGGTGACCTTGCATTCCCCAAGCACTGTTTTTCTGGCTTTTGCATATATTTTCTCCATCTTAAAAGCTGAGGAGTCTCTTCTACAGTTTAGTTAATGGCAGTAAGAGCTGAAATAGGCTCAGACAGTGCTATGGTGGGAAGAGTCTTGTTTTGTTTTTTGGCCCTGGCCTTTACTATATTCTGGTATTTAAAATCTCATCCTACTCCAACAATGAATATATGGTTTTCCTATCACCCCACACCACCATTTAGCCTCACAGCAAGCCTGTGAGATGACTCGGGAACAGGGAGACCAACTGGCCCAAGATTAAACCTCCAGTATATTGCTGAGGCAGGAATTTGAACTCGCATCTCTCCAGTCCAACAACACACTATAACGGAGTCTTCCGCAAGCACATGCCTTCCAGGGGTGTTGAACTACAGATGCTATCATCCCCAGCTAGCATGGTCAATAGCTATGCTGTTGAGGATGATGGGAATTGTAGACAACAACTAGCAATCACCTGCAGAGTGGAGCAGGCTGCTGCAACCGCCGCACCCTGGATTGGTGCAGAGGGCATGGTGCGTACACACACAGGCACAACCCCATTCTAAAGATATCAACAGTAGTGCTAGCAACACCACCAGTGGAGAATAATGCAACTGAAATTACCTCATCCTTTCCCAACTCAGCCCTGAGCTCCGGATTCTACCCGAACAACCAAAGCTGTTCAGACTTAAACAGTTGCATCACGTGGGAAGAGAACAGGAAAGAGCTCTAGAGGCCTATACTGGGAAGTGCAGAATAGCCACCCAAAATGCCTGTGTCTGAACCATGCAAAGCAAACCTGATCTGTAGCAAGGATGCAAGGAAAAGGGAATAACGGAAAGGCACACTGCACAAGAACCTCTTCTAGGCTTTGGGACCTTCTGTGATATTTTTGCTTCCATGCTACAAATGGTTCTTTTCGTAGTACTTCGGTGGCTGACCGTTTTTGCATTTTGCAATGTGTTCAGATGCATATTGTATTGTTATTATATTGTTTGGGTGGGTTTATGTTGTGAGTTCTCTTGAGAGCCCTTAAAGGAGACAAAGGGAAAGTGCAAAAATCCTAAACAACAGATTTCCAAGCCAAAAGCCATGGGAGCCTTTGGCAGAGCGGGCTTCAAGAGTTTTGTGTGGAAGAAAGCAATGTTGCAGCATTCTGTAAGGGAAGAGTTTTGTCAGTCTGAATACCCATTTTTACTTTTTCATCCGTGTGCTGCAAAAGATGTGGGCACCCCATTGCGGACACGGTTTGGAGCACTCCAATGTCAAGGCAGGCCAAAAGTGCTTCACTCCCTTAGGTGGAACACCAAATGGGGGCACCCCCCCCCTTTCTCCTGGGTGAAGGTGCACCCTACCCGAGGCCAGCCAAATTATTTCAGCATCGGAGAAAGACAATCCAATGCTTACGGAAATCCTTTCCCATCCCCCTTTGCCTTGATCTCCTTTATATGAAGCTACACCTGGCCCATTCCTTCAGCTTTGCTTCCTCTGTTAATCATGCATTCCAAATCAGTAATCATCTGTGTTGACTTCCTCTAAACCGTTTCCAGTGTACTAGCATAAGGGCCGTCTTGGATATGCTGCAGCAAATACACAAAACAAGGTCTCTGAGGAGTTTTCTTCTTAGTTATAAGTTGCAAAGTTCCCAAGCTGGTGGTGTCAGAGAACTGCATGGACCTTGACTGAAGCACCAAAACCTCCCTATGTTTCACCCAAATCCTGGGCCACCGTTAGACAGAGTAAGGTGGTCATCTCAGGCAGCTGTTTTGGTGTGAAGTGAGAGCAAATTTCCATTTGTACCATCATCATGTTTACTTCCAGGGATCAG